GCTGATTGGACCGCAGCCTCCCTACCAGAAAGGAAAGTATTTCAAGAGTTTTGTGTCCCCGGGGTGGGAAGGGGTCAGCCAATTCGAATGTATACGCGCAGTCTGCCCCTTGTCAAAATTTGGCAAGTGCCAAGCGCTCGAATGAATGGCGGTGTTGGAAGTGCACGCATCAATTCGTCTTGTTGGCAGGTTGAAAACCAGCTTGCCCACAGGAAATACATCCTCTGCTGGGTTTCCCTGGTGAGACTTGAGGTCCTGGGGTAATGATGGACCCCAGGAAGTGCAAGGAACCCACAGGTCAACCTGGGGAGTCACACAGGGTGATGGGGGGCGGGTGGGCCTGGGGTTCCTTTTCTGAAGTCCACAACCATCCTTAACTGTTTTCAGAGCGTTCAGCTCCAAGGTTAAATTCTGGTGCACCAAGGCACCAAGATGGTCTGACATCAGGACCAAAACCTCTCGCCACAAAAACAGTTTCTTTCCATCTGCAGCTGGCCTCATTAACAAGGCCCGGAACCCCCATTGACACTGACTCTTATACCCACCCTGTATATATGCATTACATTAATGCACTCCTGTCTCCTGTACAGTTTTTCTTAGATTTTTTATCTTTATTTATTTATATTTCCAAAGTACTCTATTCTTGTGTGATTTTTGTGTGATTTGTATATTTTATGCACCAATGCACCAAGAACAAAATTCCTGGTATGTTTGTTAAAAACTAACTTGGCAATAAACCTATTCTGATTTCTCCTGCTGAAACACCCACATTACAACACACATCATAAAAGATATAGGCCACACACACACCTATAGAGAAACAGTAAATCCTATAATCACTGTCTTCCCACTCACTCCGACCTAGCATTTGTACCATCTGCACACACACACACACACACACACACACTCACACACAGACTCCCACATCGTCTGAGTGTGCATGTGGAGCAGCATGCAGAAAAATAAATAGGCTACACACGCAGAATACAGTTTCTACACACACACACAGAGCTGAATCTCAGGGGGGCTGTGGTAAAATGGAATTGCTGTGCTGCTGTAGTCTATATGCTTCTGTGCTACAACACTCTAAGTAATTAAATATGAGGCAGCACGTGCAGCCGCGGTGCACTCTGTGAAAACTCCCCTCCCAGCATGGATGATCTGTGCACTGCTTTCAATAAAAATTCCATATGTTATGCTGAAAAAAAAGGGTTGTCAAAACACCAAGGTTCACTGGTCAACACGGTCCTCAGGCGTAAGCGGTTGTCTGATAAGCATTATCACAGCAGTCAACTCCAATTTTAAATGCATTCATTTATTTTTTACCCCAGAAGACTCTGAAACACAAAACATATAACACTTGTGCGTCAGAGACTTTTAACACATTAATTATACATTTACACAGTTGGACTCTGCTGAGCACCATCCGGCTGTGCCTCAGCCTGCCATGGCCCCACACAGATGCTGCGCCAGCCGCTTTGCTCTGTGCTTCTGGAGTTTTATCCTACTGCATGTTTTCAGCCATGTGACATGAGGAGGGGGAGGAGTGAGGAGAAGAAACACAGTGACAAGAGGGAGATGTGTTTATAAGACCAAAATAGAAAGTAAGGAGGAAGTGGGAAGTGGGGTGAAGAAGGAAGGCATAATAGTAAGGAAAGAGTGGAGGGGGCAAGGAGAAACTAGATGATATTATGGTCTTAAGAGCTGGTCACGTGCCAGCCTGATCCCCTTCCTTCTCTCTATATGTGAAGGAGTGGGATAAGTGAATATGTGTGGTACATAGGAATGGTGCAGTGAATAGATGCCTGAGGACAAATTTGCGTTAAGGGCACAGTGATAAAAACAACAGAACAGAGGAGTCTTCTGCTAGTCTGACTGAGTGGTTTTGCTTTTGTCCATCTTGAAATGTATGTAAAGGCTTTTGTGCATATAGTACAGGCCAAGTATTCTGAATAAATGGTTAACTCCAGCACATGTATATTCTTGTTGAGATGTGTACTTTTTAAGGACCTTTATGGTTAAAGGTATGATATGTAACATTTCCACATTAAAATGTCTATAAACTCTAGAGCTATGTTCTATACGTAGTTGAGTTGTGTACCAAATGTTTCCAACAATGTTCAATATGTAAAAAATTGTATTCAGGTAACGCTGCGTTTCAACTGGTCAATGGCATCATATCCCCCCCATATCCTTAGATCTTGGTGGTTTTTAACTGTAGATTTAAACCGGATTAAAGATTTTAGTCACATGTTACTTAGTTCCTGCAAAATGATGTTCCTGCCGTCTTATAGTGACTCTTAAGGTCTGGTCACACCGGCATTCAAAACAGTGTATTCAGCTCATTACAGTGCAATCGCTGCAATTACAACTTTCACCCTGCGCTGAACTGTTGAATAAAAGCAAGCCATCTTGGTAGTGCTGACCTTTGAGGGAAAGGAGAGCTGAAGAGTTATCATAGCTATCTTATCATAGCTAATAAATTGTGATTCATCATTCATTCTTATTTCATCTAATGCCCTAGGTCAACTAAATTTTAAATAGCCAGCTGGAATAATTTATCTACAATACTTATAAAGTATTTGAAAGTCACATAAGCGCTTTTTATTTTTTATCTTCCTAATTTTTGTTGACATAGTGGTCAAAAAGTACTTTCCCTCCCTACTAAATAGTTTGGTCTGGAGTCATAGCATGACAAAGAATTGAATTTGGTGGGACGCAAGCAAAAAAAGTTATTTGCTCACACCAGTTAAGACAGTGAAATGACTGTTTGATACTGTGAAGTTCACTAACAAAGACCACACCAATGGCTGTATAGAATAAGAAATTTTATTACATGTTATGAACA